GAAATTGTTGGAATGCTGTCAAACGTTGCGCCGATAGACAGTGCAGAGGGTCTGTGAGGACGTTGAATAGGTTTCGTAGGTTGACCGAAGCCATTATTAATAGGAGGTGTAAAGTCCAGGGATGTAGACCATTGCATCACAATCTGTGGCTTACAGACAGTAGTGACATTGGCATTGGCGGTGATAGATATGTCGATGGCTCGAATTTGAGATTTGTTAGTAACATCAATGTCATCAGGTAATATCCGATAAAGGAAGCTAATATCGTCTTGAGGTCGACAAGTGATTGGAAGCGCTAGCCCAGGGATTTGATTTAAATCTTGTACCTGTCCGCCATAAACCTTCAATTGTATATCTGTGAGTATAATGTCACAATTCACAAAAGAGGTAATATCAATATCTAGCGAAGCTATTACTGAAGTATTGTTGGGTGTACTACTTGGCCTGGAATATCGCACACGGGCATTTATAGCTGGGTATACTTTAATTGATTGCCGTGAGATGTTCTTGAAAGGCCGAGCTAAGTCGCGAGCGACTTGCGCTGCTGGTGCAACTCTTGCGACTCGCAATGCAGATAGTCGTGGCCTGATACCATTTAGATATGCATCACCACTGAAAGCTTCAAGAAGATTCAAGCCCGATGGGATCTGACTTGGAAGATATTCCTGTCGCAATGCATCCGTGTCGACCTGTTCCGCTGCTTTGAGATTCGCCATGGCCGCGAACACCATGGAGGGATTCTGCAAGCGTAGTCGCGGTCTTGCAAGAAATGCAGATAGTTTCCATATCAAAAGTATATGACCGTCATTATTGGCGCCATCAGCCTCGTCTGAGCCTTGCACAACTATCAATGGCTCATCGTTTTCTTGCACAGAGCCCTTGTAAACCAGTTCACGCCCCGCCGAGCTATCTTGATGCTCGCCATTCGCATTGATAACCTGGGCTTCCACGTTGATTATAAGTCTGTTAAGATAGGATCGGAGAGATCGTTCGTCAAAGTAGGGAGTTTGTAGGACGACATAAATATTGACCGTTTCATCTAACATCTACGAATGAGTAAGATAGAGAGCTTTTCCAGTAACTCGGGGGACTAACCAAAAAAAAGAGCTTGCCTTTGAGGAATGGCAGCTAATGGAGAACCATTGCCTTCATCGAGCTTTTCCACACTCCCGTTTAAAGCCTCCTCTATATTCAAATCGCTGGCCAGTGGAATGATTGTGTCCAAGATTGAGCTCTCAGTGAACTCCAAGCTGCTCCTAGGAATTGGCTCTTCTTGCGATTCTTCCATCATTGTGATAAGCCTTTAAAACAAAAATAAATACAATAGACTGTTACTTGTTATATATTTGTAAATCGCATAATGTGTTAAGAAAATGAGTATGTGTTATGACGTTGGAAACTCACATGAAAGGAGTTCTGGATGGTGGTAGTGGTTAGCTGCCGTGCTGAAAACGCGCTAAATAGCGGCCGAGCAAAATCGCGAACCTTTTTTTTGGAAACCGCAAATGTGATCTTGGTCTGCGCTTTTAGTAACAACTCAACTAAAAATCCGTTTTCTGCTTTCAGTTTCATCAACATGAACGGAATGAATGGTCACGCAGCTATCCCTGCTCTCTGGCAGGAAGCGCGAAATGCGGATGGACGGGTTTATTATTATAATACTATTACGAAGGCGACGCAATGGACCAAGCCAGAAGATTTGATGACACCTGCAGAGGTATAGTTCTTGTCTCGCTGAATCTATCAGTCATATAACTTTTACTGACAAGCTATTTAGCGTGCCCTGTTGAATCAGCCATGGAAAGAGTATACAGCGGAAGGGGGGAGAAAGTATTGGTATAACACTGAGACGAAGCAGAGCTCATGGGAAATGCCAGATGTATACAAGGAAGCTATGTCAAAAGAGGCTGCATCGCCTGCAGTCGCTGCTGCACCGTAGGTCTTTTCCGAGAAACCCAAAGAGTGTGATTCTAATATTAATTTATTATTAGAGTGCCAACCTTCGTCGCAGGTGGTGGATTCTCGGCCTCTCAGTATGACCAACCACGAGACAGGGAACCTTTAGGAGAAGCTCGTCAAATTGCATACGGCAATGATGTCAATGGAAGCCGTGCTCAAGCTTTTGTGCCTGCTAATAATGATCCCGATTATTCTACCTTTGAAGAAGCAGAAGCAGCTTTCCTCAAGCTTTTGAAACGGCACAATGTTAAACCTGATCTTACATGGGAAGAAGTTATGCGATCAATTATCAAGGATCCTCAATACCGAGCGCTCAAAGACCCCAAAGACCGAAAGGCCGCCTTTGAGAAGTATGCCATTGAGGTTCGCCTACAAGAAAAGGACCGTGCAAAGGAGAGACTTGAGAAACTCAGATCTGATTTTGCTACTATGCTGAGAAGCCACCCAGAGATTCAACACTACACTAGATGGAAGACAGCTCGACCGATTATCGAAGGAGAGACGATTTTCCGCTCCTCGAATGACGATGATGAAAGACGTCAGCTATTTCAAGATTATATCATGGAACTCAAGAGGGCGAATACGGAGAAAGAGGTTGCAACGAGAAAAGCTGCGATGGACGATCTTGTTGATCTTTTGAAAGGATTAAATCTTGAACCATACACAAGATGGTCAGAAGCACAAGGTATCATCCAGTCAAATCCACGTTTCCAAGGTGATGAGAAATTCAAGGCACTCAGTAAATCGGACATGTTGACTGCTTTCGAGAATCATATCAAATCTCTTGAGAAGACGTTCAATGATGTTAAACAGCAGCAGAAGACCCAAAAGCTAAGGAGAGAGCGTCAGAATCGAGATCGGTTTGTAGGCCTCTTGCGAGACCTCAAAACTGGGAACAAAATAAAGGCAGGAACAAAGTGGAGCCAAATTCATCCTTTAATTGAAAATGATGACAGGTACGTCGATATGTTGGGTCAATCGGGATCTTCTCCTCTGGATCTGTTCTGGGATGTAGTCGAGGAAGAGGAACGCGCACTGCGTAGTACACGAAATGATGTTTTGGATGTTCTTGATGTAAGTTCAATAGCTCCTTGATATGGTGAAGCTCAAACTGACCACATTACAGGATAAACGGTTTGAACTCCAGCAAAAGACTCCGTTTGAAGAGTTCCTAGCACTTATGCAGGGTGATCGACGAACTGCTAACATTGATCGAGACTCATTGTTGCTAATATTTGATCGGGTTAGTACCCCTTTGTTGCAAAAACTTGCCCTCGGCTAACTGTTGAAATAGTTACGTGAGAAGATCTCTCGAAGAAATGAGGATGACAAGCATCACGCAGAGCGCCATCAACGCCGAGCTGTGGATAACTTGAGATCGTACATTAAGCATCTCGAACCTCCTATTCGCATTGGCGATGATTACGAACGGGTTCGCGCTCGTTTTGAAGGGTCCGAAGAATATCTTGCCGTAACAACAGATGAACTCCGTCGCTCAGCTTTTGACAAGGTAATTCGCCGGCTCAAAGAGAAAGAGGAAGACTCCGAAAAGGATCGAGCCAAGCGTCGTGATCGAGCCTCAGTCGATCGACCAACACACAAAATACGCGACCGAGAGCGAGACCATCGTTCCTCCGGGTCAACCCGCTCTAGGCGTAGCCGCTCCCCAGAGCCTGACGCGTATGAAGCAGACAGGCGAAAAGCTATCGCAGACCGCGAAAAGAACTACCGGAAGGGTGGCATGGCTGATACATTACTTTCTCCAAATCGTCGTGATAGACGTGATCCTGATGCCCATGATCGTGAACGCGACCGGGATAGATTAATGCGGGATCGAGATCTTGACAAACCTCGCAGTAGACGAGATGATTCAATGAGTCATTACGAACGAGAAAGAAGAGACCGCGAGGATGAGAGAGAGAAACTCTACAGACGACGCGGGGATCCTCGAGGTAGCATCGATGAGTTGCCTTATGGCGACGAAAGATCCAGTGCACCAAGAAAGAGAAGAGAAAGCGAAACGGAAACTCGCAGGGATAGTAAGGTTTGTTACAATTCATCATTATTCTTCTGTTCCTCCCCCCCCCCCCTCCTCGAAATGAACATCTTTACTTTCGAAACTAACAGCAATGCAAAAACAGAGAACCAGGAGAGAAAACACACCTAAACAACGTGAGCGCTCCCCAGTTCCCCCACGTGAACGGCGTCACAGGACTAGGACACCACCTGCTGCGAAAACCCCCGCCAAAGAAGAGCCTGCTGTCCACTCAGGTAGCGAAGAAGGCGAGATAGAGGAAGAATAGAGAAATAGATTGGACCTCTTTTTATGGTCAAGGTTCTCATGCACCAATCAAATTGAAAAAAAATTCGCCCTACCTGTACGTATCCGCACGCACCGTACTTCTATTTTTGGCTTGATGATATCGGCAAGCAGGCAGTTCACTATCGCGTGGTATTCAGAAAACGCTAGGCATTGTTCCAAATTGAGCAACGGGGATGAGGAGTGAAAGAGGGGTGAAGTAAAGAGAGAGATGGGGAAGCATGAAAAATTCGGTGTGTATTGTTTTCTTCTAATTATCTATTGATTCTTCGCATTCAATATCCTCTTAACGAATCACATTCAAAAACCATCAAGTCTGTAAAGTAATAAGTTTCAATCATTGCCATGTACTAAGAATTGAATTGCAATTCTATTGCATTGTACCTCTTCGCCTTGGAAATTGCCACTCGTAAAATGTTTTCACCCATCTTGACGACATGCCCATCCAACGTCTCCCAATGCCCCTCAATCTGCTTCTGATAGATCAGCCTATGCATGATCTACTCACCAAATCTTGGCGGTTATCAAAGTAGGACCAGGCATCGAGAGGATAGACTGCCGTCACCCTTGTTAGCCGCCTGGATCATCATCCTGGTCGGATGAGCCTTCCTCCATTACCATGCCTTGCCCATCGCTTTTCTTAGTCTCCCGAAATGCCGACCCCGTAACGCCATGCAATGCCTTTTCAGGAGGGGGAAATGAATCTTTCTCAAAAACCTCTTCAACTAGTAGCAGCTTTGTCATCCTCATCCAAGAAGAACTAGAAAAATGTTAGTATTCATACACTTGAAAATAATGGAACTTAATCCTTACGTAGTTGCCATTCAACTTCTGCTCCTGGTCCAATTGGGAGTTAAGTTTGTTGATACGAGGTCTGTAGTTAGATGGATCACGACGGAAAGTGACGTCGAGGTTCTTCAGGAATTTGTTGCAGCCAGTGAGTAACGATTCGGGGGTATTGGCGCGAGCATCGATACCAGGCTGGCCGTCAAAGACAATAACACGATCCGCGAGGTAAGTAGCCATAATGAAATCGTGCTCGACAATGAAAGCGGTCTTTTTCGAGTGCATGATAAATCTCTTAATGACACGGGCAGCGATGATACGCTGTTCGGAATCGAGGTAGGCAGAGGGTTCATCAATAAGGTAAATATCTGCGGGGATACCAAGAGCAAGGACGATAGCCACACGCTGCAATTCTCCTCCGGACAAAGTCTTGACTTCTTGATCGATAAATTCTTCGAGCTTGAGAGGCTTGACGACGTCGGTCTGGAATTGAGGCAGAAGGAAGGCAGTCTTGATCTTCTTGAAGAAGAGTTGTCTGACTGTTCCCTCAAACTTTGGCGTGATTTTTTGAGGCTTCATACTGACCTTCATTCCAGGAACTTTTTGATTGCCGTCGGGTTGAGTGGCACCGGCAAGCATCTTACAGAAAGTAGTCTTACCAGTACCGTTCTCTCCCATCATGACGACAATCTCGGAATCGGTGAAATCTCCTGCCTCAATAGACAAGTGGAAGTTACCAAGAGTCTTTTCCATGGATGGATATTGGAATGCTCGAGATCTGTCTGCCATAAATTCATCGGCAGCCTCGGCAATCTTGAAAGTTAAAGACTCTTCTCGGAATCGCAAGTTCTCAGTTGGGATGTTACCATCCAAGAAGATATTGATACCTTCTCTGACAGAGGCTGGGAGAGTGACAACACCGTAAACAGCGGGTTTTCCGTACAGAACGCAGATGAAGTCCGACAAGTAATCCAAAACCGAAAGATCGTGCTCAACGCAAATAACGTAATCATCAGGTCTCAACAATGATCGAATGATTTGAGCAGCGCTAAGACGTTGCTTTACATCTAGGTACGAAGATGGCTCATCGAACATGTAGCTACATCTCAGTCAGTAAGAACTTGTGGAGGGTTTGTCAAGACCACGTACACATCGGCCTGCTGCACACAAACAGTTGCAATGGCGAATCTTTGTAGTTCTCCACCAGATAAAAGGTTGACATCTCGATCCATGATATGATTCAACTCTGGAACAAAGTCAGTACGGTAGTGCCAAGCTTGAATGATTAATAACAATGCATACCCAGAATGTCGCAGACCTCCTTGAAATTGTCCATTGTTGCAACACCTTCGATCAAACCTCGGACGGTCTTATCTGGCCCCTTGATGGCTCTCGGAATTCTGTCAACATATTGGGGCTTGACAATTGCTTTCAAATCATCTTCCAAAATCTTCGTGAAATAGTCTGCATTGCTGTAAGCGCAAGTCAAGAATTATTAAAGATTTGAGCAACAAACTTTGTAATTCAGAGCCACGGAAGTATTTGATAACATCTTGCCAGTCGGGTGGGTTATCATATCTACCCAAATTTGGCTTCAACTTTCCACTGAGAATCTTGAGTGCTGTACTCTTTCCAATACCGTTGGAACCAACCAATCCCAAAACTTGTCCTGGACGTGGTGTAGGCAATCGATGCAACTTGAAACTGTTGGCGGAGTATCGATGAGTTACGTGGGACTCCAAATTTGTTGGCAGATTGATAATGTTGATAGCACCGAATGGGCACTTCTTAGGGCAGATACCACAACCAATGCAAAGGTTCTCGGAGATGAAAGCGATTTTCGACTCGGGGGTAACTTCGATACAGAGACGACCACTTCGCACGACCGGGCAGGACTTTTTACATTCTTGTCTACATTTCTGTGGATATATGATTAGCAACTTGCAGAAAGTGCTGAGAAGACTAGACGCGTATATTTACCTTTGGCTTGCACTGTTCAAATGGTGGGTAATGTCAGTGATATTCATATGGCGGGGTATGTGGTGGGGCAAGGCTCAACGCAAAATTTGTCGCACCTTGTCAGTACTGATGATAGCAATACTAGAGGTAGGAGAGTCAGCAAACTGTTCAAGTATAGATGTTTAAACATCGCAGAGATGCGAGTTATATTGCTCAGGCGACATTGTAAGTGGGATTTCGTACCGGGTAAGTTTGTCAGACATCTTGGATGCTGTTGCTCTCACAGAGCACTAGAAATTCGTGGGAAAAAAGAAAAATAGAGAATTCTCTGGGAGACGCGGAAATTTGCTGATGAACTTGTGCTTCTTTGTCTTCCAAGGTTGTCGTGCGTGTCGCGGAGTGAAATGCTGCAGAGACCTTGCGATGGATATAAGGTTGGTTGGTCGTGATGTGATCATAAAAGATTAAAAAGTCTTCAGTGTTCAAATTGAAATTCGATTATTACACAATTGATATTATTGGCTGTAGGAGCTTAAACCTTAGTGTGGTTTCATTGTAGAATACCTTTGGCCGGAACCACTATTCTCCTTTGTACCCACTGCGAAGTAGAAACAATAGGACTTGCACTTCAGACGAATACCTACGAGTAGATCACATCACGCGTTTGATAATCAATGTTCAAAAATACATGTTAAATTGACCAGTCTATATTCCTTGTGGACACTCGGGGTAGAAAGATTTGTTTTCTTTCTGTTTATGAATGACATATATTACAAGCAGTTAGCTATTGTCCTTCTCACACCAGAGTCAAAAGAAATACACCATGTAGATACTCGATGCCTTTTGTTATACTGGTACTGGATACGATAAATGCTCAACGTTCTATTCAGTTGATCTACCTACCTAGGAAGACATGAGTTCAAAATCATATATTAATTCGATCAGTCAATTTTCTCGAGTAAAACTTGGATACCTATATTCACACTCTTTTCCCTTATTACTGATGTCAATTTTGAAGACTTCAAGACCCTCTGTTTTCTATCAAATCCATTACCTAGATACCTACCTAGTACCTATGCAGAGACAAAACACCATATCTACCTACCAAACGCGAAGCACGTTCCATTCTTGCTACCACAAAAAATGACTGAACATTGAGATCAAAATTACATGTTGCTTGTTAAAGGTACATATCAAATCAGCCAACCAATGTATCCTTGTACATATTCATCTATATATTAGTTTCTTTCCTAATGATCAATAATACAAGTTTGTAGAATATTTGCTCATTGCTAAAGAGTCCTGTGATACTGTTGTATTCGCAAGAATGCAATCTGGAGTTTTGATGGTTTTCATCATTGTACGGTTTGTCCGGCTAAAGTACAGCAATATCACGTGAAACACTAAAACATCCTAGCTTCTGCTCGGCTAAGTACGGTAGACCTGTGGTTCTATTCTGACCAACTGCTCATGTCAATCATTATGGGAAATTCATCACTGATTGTGTAGACCTTCAGATCCGCTCTCCAATTTTAACGTCCGAAGTACCCAACATCACTACCATCTACCTTCATATTCTTCAAATTAAAGATTGACTCTCAATTATTTTGTTATCAGGGGGGCCTTATTAAATATGGCTTGTAAGTTTTCCAATTTTCCCACAAATTCCACGCAAAACTGTGGTATACCTATTCCCATCATCATAATGCATCTGCCATCCTCGAATGCCATCATTTCCATCTTCCCATCTCCTCATGCAGTCTTCAAACTATATAGAGTCTCCTGATCTTCACTCATGTCACTCTCCCGTTGCTGTTTTCTTGCCCTTATCATGCTCTTCGGCACACAAAGCTCCTATGAGCTGGCCTCAATCAAATTGTATCATTTCCATCGACTTTCATCGCGAGATTGCTATCAAGCACACGAGAATGCGCCGATGACATTCAGTATGTCGTTGTTGCTGGGCTCATTGCAATCTTGGTGTATATAGGATCGCGGCTTCTTTCCCTTCATGGGCGTGCAATTGTCAGAGTTTTCACTACACCCATTCATGGGGCCATACTGTTCATAATAGCTAATATCGTCGTCGCAGCCCCGCAGGATACAATCGAAGTCATGAACTCGACATCCCCGTTACATATGTCCAATGGACACGATGAATCATTTGCAAGGTCCTCGCCATCAAATGATGACGCACCAGGCGAAAGCGAGTCAGAACTATCCGATGTTGGCAACCCTACCGTCGATGAACCCTCACCGGCCTCCTCAAACCAACAACCAATGTTTGGTGGTCAAGATTCCGATGCAACTGAAGACTCGTCACCTGAAGATCAAGAACAATCCGATGATGCGGATTTTGATGAAGAAGAAACTCCTGCGGCTGCAGCTTTCAATGGCCAACGATCAGAGCGTTCGAGCACTGTCGAGTCGTCGCGTCCTGCTAAACGCAAGCCGGGCGTCACTGATCAAGATCGGTACATGCTAGAGAATCCCGAACTATATGGTTTACGGAGAAGTGTAGGAGCTTCCCGATTTAACACCCCTCTTAAACTAGTGCTAACGGATTTTTACAACTACAGGCGCGTCCAGCACAAACTCGAACTATTGTATGTCGTTCCCGAGTCATCCAATTAATATGCGAGATACAATACAGTTGGATATAAGTGCTGACTATTACAGGTTGAGTCTGATGATGATGAGGAAGAGGAAGATTCCGATGCCGTTGCAGCTCACAGGAATAAGCGTAGGAAGCCAGAGCGCTCCCAACAATGTAAGCGCCTTCTTGTCGCGGGTGAACTGGCTGTGGCAGAAAGCTAATCTCGTGTACAGCTTCCAAACGCCAAACACCAGCTCTGCAATCTGCATCTGCCTCTGATACTGACGAAACCGAGGATTACGGTAGCTTACGAGCACGAAATACTATCAAGAAGAATCGACGCCGCCAATTAGAGACCGGCAACATCGCTCTTCAATATCAAGAGAAGCGGTGGAACAGCCGTCGTGCTGCGCAGGTCACAACCGGTGCTTACCAAGAAAGTGATCCCGACTTGGAAGATGAATCTGAATTGATGACCCCAATCCAGTGGGCGGAAGATATTGAAGATACCTCACCATATATCGATGTTGTCTTGAAGCACAAGATTAAAGCTGATAGAGATGCAAAAGATGAGAGCCTCTCGAAGGACGATTTTGAGTACTATATCAAATGGCAGGGCAAATCGCACTGCCATGCTACTTGGGAGACAACATCCACTTTGGCAGGAGTTCGTGGTTTCAGACGCCTCGAAAACTATTATCGAAAAATCGTTATCGATGACATCTACATGACACAAGGTGCTGAGATACCACCGGAAGAGAAAGAAAAGTGGATGCTCGATAGAGAGCGTGATGCAGATGCCCTGGAAGACTACATAAAGGTCGAAAGGGTTATTGGCTCGCGAGAAGGTGATGAGGAAACCGAATACTTCATAAAGTGGAAGGCTCTATACTATGAATCTTGTACATGGGAGACTGCCTCTTTCATCAGCGAGAAGGCTCAAGATGCTATCGACCACTTCTTGGATCGCAGCTCTAGATCTCTGGTCTCAGACCGAAAGGAGTCGAACCCAGATACCAGAAGCCCTCACGTCCCTATTCGTGAGCAACCAGATTATATCAAGAATGGTCAACTGCGAGATTTCCAAATCACAGGTCTTAATTTCCTGGCGTACAACTGGTGCAAGAACAAGAATGTCATTCTTGCTGATGAAATGGGACTTGGCAAGACTGTCCAAACTGTTGCTTTTATGAATTGGCTCCACAATGATAGAGGCCAAGAAGGTCCACATCTTGTCGTGGTACCTTTGACAACCATTCCTGCTTGGGCTGACACCTTTGATAATTGGGCACCAAGTCTTAATTATGTTGTTTACAATGGTAAAGAGTCATCGCGTCAGATCATACGTGAGTATGAACTGTTGGTTGATGGAAACCCCAAGCGTCCAAAGTTCAATGTCCTACTCACATCTTATGAGTATATTCTGGCCGACTCTCTTTTCCTGTCCCAAATCAAGTGGCAGTTTATGGCCGTCGATGAAGCACATCGTCTGAAGAACAGAGAATCTCAACTATATCTGAAGTTGCTCGATTTCAAGGCTCCCAGTCGTTTGTTGATCACCGGTACCCCGGTTCAAAACACTTTAGGCGAGCTGTCGGCCCTCATGGACTTCCTCATGCCAGGCGAATTGGAAATTGAAGACAACATGGACCTAACTGATGAAGCTGCTGGTGAAAAAATTGCTGCACTCACCACCAAAATTCAGCCATACATTCTCCGCCGGACAAAACAGAAAGTCGAGAACGATCTCCCTCCAAAAAGTGAGAAAATCATTCGTGTCGAGCTTTCAGATGTTCAGCTGGATTATTACAAGAACATTCTTACTCGCAATTATGCAGCTTTGAATGAAGGTTCAAAAGGTCCAAAGCAATCGTTGTTGAACATAATGATGGAACTCAAAAAGGCCAGCAATCACCCCTACATGTTTCCAAATGCAGAGGAGAAGATCTTGAAGGGTAGCGAAAGACGAGACGACCAGTTGAAGGGTTTGATTGCCAGTAGTGGAAAGATGATGCTCCTTGACAGATTACTTGCCAAGCTCAAAAAGGATAATCATCGTGTTTTGATTTTCAGCCAAATGGTGAAGATGCTGGACATCCTCGGCGACTACCTTCAACTTCGTGGTTACCAATTTCAACGCCTTGACGGTACTGTTGCTGCAGGTCCAAGACGCCAAGCCATCGATCATTTCAACGCCGATGGAAGTAATGACTTCTGCTTTCTCCTTTCCACACGTGCTGGAGGGCTTGGTATCAATTTGATGACGGCCGATACGGTGGTCATTTTCGACTCTGATTGGAATCCCCAAGCTGATTTGCAAGCCATGGCTCGTGCACATCGTATTGGTCAGAAGAAGCCTGTAAGTATTTACAGGTTTGTCTCAAAGGAAACCGTCGAGGAAGAGATTCTTGAGCGTGCTCGTAACAAGCTCATGTTGGAGTTCATTACCATACAACGAGGTGTCACCGATAAGGAGAAGAAGGAGCTGCGAGAAAAGGCTGCAAAGGCTGGCAAAATTGATGATCCTAAATCTTCCGAGGATATTTCCCGCATTCTCAAAAAGAGAGGCCAGAAAATGTTCGAACAATCTGGCAATCAGAAAAAGCTTGAAGAGTTGGACATTGACTCGGTCCTTGAGAACGCTGAAGAGCACCAGACTGAAGTACCAGAAGGCATTGTCGCCGATGGTGGTGAAGACTTCCTTAAAAGTTTCGAATATACTGACGTCAAAATCGACTTGGAATGGGACGATATCATTCCAAAAGATCAGTTGGAGGGAATCAAAGCCGAGGAAGAAAAGCGAGCTCATGAAGAATATCTTGCTAAGGTCGTCGAAGAGAATGCACCACGTAAAGCAGCTATGAAAAACACGGCTGAGATTGAGCGAGAGCAACGACTTGCAAAGAAGCGCGAGCGTGACCAAGTTAAGCAAGAAGAGCTCGAAGAAAAGAGAGAAGCCCAAGCAAATCGTTTGGATCCAAAGCGACCTCTCAACGAAAAGGAAACGAGAAACTTGATGAAAGCTTACCTCCGTTTCGGCTCCATGGAAGATCGTGGCGAAGAACTTGTAAAAGAAGCTCGTCTTGTAGGCCGTGATGAGGACTTGATGAAAGCTACACTGAAAGCCCTCACCGAAGAAAGTAGCAGACGTCTCAAGGCAGAGACCGAACGGGTTGAAGCACTAGAGCGCGCAACCAATAAGCCATTAACCAAAAAGGATAGAAAAGCAGTGTTGTTTGATTATTCTGGAGTAAAGAGAGTCAACGCTGAGACCATCATGGAACGTCCAGGCGAAATGAGAATGCTAAGAGACGTTGTCGGAAACTGCCCCGATTTCAAAACCTTCCGCGTCCCTGACGCTTCCAAAGGTGCTCATTACTCATGTGACTGGGGTGCAAAGGAAGATGGCATGCTTCTTGTTGGGATTCATAGGCACGGCTATGGTGCTTGGACGCAGATCAGAGATGATACCGACTTGGGACTCGGAGACAAGTTGTTCCTTGAAGAACATCGAGTAGACAAGAAAGAAGAAAGAAGCAAGGCTGATGAAAAGGTCGCCAAGGCTCCTGGGGCCGTTCATTTGGTCAGACGAGCCGATTATCTTCTATCTGTTCTGAAAGCCAAGTATTCCGATAACCAAGCTGCCAAGCGTGCCGTGGAGAATCATCATCGAAACAACAAGAAGCACGAGCGTAATGGATCCAGAAGAAGCGAGGCAAGAGGGTCAGTTTCTGCTTCTCCTGCCCCACCGATCAAGAAAGCATCTCGACCATCCGATCACAGTAGTCGTGATCGAGAAAGGGATAGAGCACGTAGTCACAACTTCAGTGATTCCCGTGATTCTCGTCGGGAGAGTGGAGGCTATGGTTCTTCAACGCCATTGAAAAGAAAGTATAGCGACGGAGACGATGAGAAACAACTAGAACGTCGCCCCAAATATCGTAAATCCGACAATGGTGAACCTGCACAGAACGACATGCTCCGTAAACTCTTCAAGCCAATCAAGGAGAGCCTTCGACGTCTTCAAAACGGTACAGCTAAGAACATCCCCAACAAAAAGGAGCGTGCCACTGTCTTGAAAGAGGAGTTGTACAGTACTGGACTGTTTATTGACTCTATCACTGCACCCAAAAAGGATGGGTCGGTCGACAGTAAACTGAGAGATAGCCTTTGGTAAGTTTCTCTACGTCTGCAACAGTGATATATTTACTAATGTTATTCAGGGAATATGTCATGACTTACTGGCCCAATCCAGGACAATCCACACAGGCAGTAGCATCCATGTATTCGAAAGTCAGGAGGGACAGGTTAGAGTCAAAGAATTAAGATTTGAATTCGTAATGTAGGTGTTTGGGAAAGTGCTTTCACCTCACGTCTAGAGGGATTAATGTCTTGAGGAACGTGTTGCATTGGCGTTTAGATGATGGGAATTCATTATAGTTTACATTGGCTCAAATCACGGCATGGGCTGGCGTACGGTTTAGTGGGTTATGGGAAGTTTTTTGGCGGGCGGAGTTGATAATACTCATTGCATGGGAGACGGCGGGGGGATCATTGTGCGAATTGCACCGGCGTTTGTCAGGATCAAGCAACTTTTACTAGTTAATTAATCCACGAAACAACACGAGAACATGTACAAAAACTTCGAGCGTTGAATGAGCGTCAGAAGGCACTTGATGCCACTTACTTAACACCACGATAGAGTTAGCTATTTATACAGACATTGATACAACTACAATGAAGTTTCAGTCAAAGAGATCAATGTTTGCGATCCACTAGTCAGAATCGATTATGATTATATGCGCCAATAATGAAATGCGATCATTTCGATTGTCTTCCAAGGTACTCGAGCAAATAGTTGGGCATAAGGTTACTAGTTAGTATAATAATCTCCTTTCTAGATGAAAGCGCTGGTGCAAATGCTGAAGAGCGGCTTATAAGTCAATTCATATTACCTTATTTTACGTCCATTTTCATCAAATCGATCTTCTCAAGGTCTCAATATATTTATTGATTGAACGTCTTCAAACCCATCAGACGCTAATCTCCGCAATTTCCGGCATTTGACCTTACTACCTTATTACTAGGGTAATTTCTCCACGCGTGAGATCCATTATTTAGTCGCTCATCTTTTTATCTGGGTATTTTATCTGGGTACCTAGGTCGTAATCTTTCATCTAGACAAAACCTAATATTCACAACATAAGACACCATCAAAGTAAAAGGTCTGCCAGCCTCATATTTCTTTGTTCATCTATATATACATCATCGAACGATTTTCCAAAGTCATGTACTACGACACTATAAATCGAAGTTGTACTGTAACCTAGAGCTGATGTTCATGTTGCGTTGCATTTCATACATACTGTACGACTCGTGAGGTGAGGGAGGATGCGATCCTAGCATGATTGCCAGTTCTGGGATTATACTGGTCGCTTACTGCAGTGGGTTTTGCCAGCATGGTTGGGGATGTCACTGGCTAATGGAAAATGGGGAGTATATGGCGGGGGGCGAGGAGATAAGAGGCACAGTAGTGTGGTGGATGGGACGGATTGTGATGTGGAATATGCAATCTTCGATTTATCCGTAATGTGATGCGGATACGGGGATAAGGTGTTTCGAAGGGTGTTCGCTGGCTGGTCAATGAGGAGCTAAATGCCAAAAGCATTTTGTTTGTGGAAACAATACCGAGTTTGTTTGTCCAAACATGCTTTGATCTTGTACCGAGTAAGCTCTAGATCTCGTGTCAAGTTCAGGTCTTGTTGGAGCCTAAATGATCAAGTGACAGTTGTGCAAATATTTCCGACGGCGAAGGAATGTTTTCATAATGTTTACAACACGGAAGCTAGGAACTAGGGACGGGCTGACATGCTGTACAGTATGATTGTCGTGGATATGGACCATTCATGACACCTCGCCGTACTTGTACTTCAGGAACGAGCGTATGATTTCCATTTCGAGGACGAAAAACGAAGGAATATGTCAAACATTCTTAAGTAATAATAGCAAAAGGATCGGTATTCGGTATTTTGTATATTCACCGATAGCCATGGGCTCGAATATTGATAGTCCTGCTAGCCCCCCTACGCAAGTGCTCGCGAGGGCTTGGCTTGGCTTGCTCGCTTACAGATTACGGATACAATTTCTGCATGGCTAATTAATGGTATGTTGGGAAGTTGGGGGTTAAGCTTTTGCAAATCTAGGATATTTGCCATGCCGTCGTCAGTCAAGAACTCAAGGCTCTTGTCTGCAGAGCTTGTTATAACATCGATGAACCCTTATCACTTGCTACCTCTTGAACCCTATTATCGTCTTTTGCGTTCACTAGCCCCGTTGTTTTTACGTCGTTTAACGCTTTTCTCCACATGTTCCTCCTTTATTCTCGATTATGCCTTGCTCAGGATTTTACCTTCTCTATAATCCGTCCTACAATTCGGTCCGACTAATTCATTTTACAAGGGCTCGAGCAGAAAATCTACCCTGCTATAATGTATCATACAAGCCACTCAAATTGTGTGGCTTACATGACACCACTTCACCCCATGCCCCCTGTCCCCCGCATGTCTCAACCCCGACAAGTCGATCTTCCCCACGAAGGCAGCACCTCCGCGTTTTACTACCCAAGGGATAATTTAGTCTGGAACCAACCTCTTCCTTCAAACGGTTTACCACAGCAACAATCATGTATAAGAGTTGGTGGAAATTGATGGCGAGTGCGGATGAGGGAGGGGTAACTTCCTCCGTGCTTGCATTGCTTTAGTTTTTATTGCTAGTGTTCCCAAATCATCAATTGTGAACTTTCTTTCTGGACAGGTATTAGTATAGTAAGCAGCTTCGGTTCCAGTAGGCTGATTTCTTATAGAGAAATTTCGATACTGAAAACAAGCTCGAGTAGTGTCATTTCGTATTCCAATGTTTTCGAATGACATACTATATTATTTGGAGTAACTGTTGTGTTTTTGATTGGCCTTTCTAGAAAGACAAGCGAATGTCAATATATGGAAATTGAATTCAGAACACCTCCGCATTCTACTACGCAGGGTATTGTTTGGTCTGAAGTCCCCGACTTACTTTAAACGGTTTAAGGAAGATAACTTCAATAATTGTATATATCCCCGGTTGCTTGGCAAATGTGTAAGAGGTTCACAGACAAAGATTTTCCTGGGAAGAATACGGCGTACAGACCGCGTGCACACAATCTCAGCAAAATGGCTGCAGCTTAGCAGGGGTAGCTCCTTTGTGATTCCTTACTTTTGACGGCTCAAGGAATTCTTTCTGATTCATTCCCTACATATTGACTGGTCAGAGTAGGTCCGGTTAAAACAATCGACTTCGGCAGTGACAAGCTTTTGCTTGTTGGATGCATACATAAAGTGTGGAGAAACCCCAGAGCTTTGCAATCGATTCTTCTGATCTCTGTTGATATAAACGAGCCTGTATCTTCAATTCTCATATAGACAGGCAATAACAAGTTTTCATATCAATTGAGTAGCAATAGTCTTCATCATGCCTGGAGGAGCAGTTGTTCATGGCACGACCGATACCTCTCGGGTAAGTAATGTTTCCTCAGCTATTTCTCGCCATTTTGTATCTTTGTCGAGGTTCTATCGAGGCTACTACCTCAACGGCAACACCTCATCAATGTTTGAAGTTATCAGGTGTCTACCTTTATATTTCACAATACTGATTTGATGATGTGTAGATCGAGGCGCCGGTAACTGTCAAGGCATACTTGATGTAAGTTCCTTATATCAATTGCTAAACTTTTGAGTTCAAGAACATTGGCTAAGTTTTGCCAAGGTGTGCTTTTGCAGCATTCGGTGGTATTTTCTTCGGATATGATACAGGTTGGATGTCTGGGTATGTTGTCCTGACTCTTTAGATGCTGTATCCATTTATTGATATTTTGAAGTGTCTTAGCGATGCCTTACTTCATCACTCAATATACTGGATTACCACAACCTCCTGCAGATGCCCCAAAAGCCACTTTGGACGCATTCGCCGTCTCTGCTAGCAATCAATCTTTGACAACCTCCATTCTCTCTTGCGGTACTTTCTTCGGAGCTCTTATTGCTGGTGATATAGCCGATACAATTGGACGTCGTATGACTATTATCGCTGGTTGTGCAATCTTCTGCGTCGGATGTATCATGGAAACCGCCTCCACTGGTCTAGGTCTCATGGTAGCAGGTCGTCTAATTGCTGGGGGTGGTGTTGGATTCATTTCTGCTATCAGTAAGTCTCATTAGGTATCAGCTCTCAGCCTCAACTTGTCTGACCGGTCATCAATTGCAGTCATCTTGTACATGTCAGAAATTGCTCCGAAAAAAGTCCGAGGTGCCCTTGTCTCAGGATATCAATTCTGTATCACAATCGGAATCTTACTTGCCAATTGTGTTGTGTACGCTACACAGAATCGGACTGATACTGGCTCATACCGAATTCCTATTGCAGTTCAATTTTTGTGGGCTATCATCTTGGCGATTGGATTATTCATTCTCCCTGAATCGCCCCGTTATTATGTCAAGAAAGGTCGTCTTGAAGATGCAGCCAAATCCCTAGCCAACGTTCGTGGTCAACCAATTGAGTCTGAATACATTCAAGTAAGTATAACCAAATTTGGAATGCGGTATGCCCCCTAACATGCATATAGGATGAACTTGCAGAGATCATTGCAAATAATGAATACGAACTCTCTGTTGTACCACAAACGTCATACATTTCCCAATGGACCAATTGTTTCAAAGGTTTGTGCCTTCGGTCAACCCGAATCCTTCATCTTGTACTTACATACGTGCAGGATCTATGTTCGATGGTTCCAGTAACCTTCGAAGAACTTTTACTGGTATCATGCTTCAATGTATGCAACAATTCACCGGTATCGTAAGTGGTTTCTCTGTCTCTCTAATTCTTGATGTCTCCAAATCACATCATTTCATTCATCGAAACAAGCTATTGGAGTAAATCAGTACTAACTCTTATTTCACAGAACTTTATCTTCTACTTCGGAAATGTCTTCTTCAAATCTCTCGGAACGATCAAGAATCCCTTCTTGATCTCCCTCGTCACTTCATTGGTCAACATGTTAACAACCCCTCTCGCTTTCTGGACCGTCGAACGTTTTGGTCGTCGTAGCATTCTTCTCATTGGAGCTTCTTGCATGATCACCTTCCAATTCATTGTTGGTATCATTGGTGTCACTGCCGGGGAGGCTGACAAACATAACACCTCTGCCGTATCTGCAATGATTGCTTGTAAGTATTTACCAGTTCATATTTCAATATCACTACAATGCATACTTCATTCTATTATGACATACACATCAAACTAACCCACCCAGTCATCTGCCTCAACATCGCTGCCTTCGCCACCACCTGGGGTCCAGCCGCCTGGGTCGTAGTCGGCGAGATCTTCCCTCTGCCCATCCGCTCCCGCGGCGTCGGTCTCTCCACCGCCTCCAACTGGTTCTGGAACTGCATCATCGGAGTCATTACTCCCTATCTCGTCGGCACTCAAAAAGGTGACGCGAATCTCGGCGCCAAAGTATTTTTCATGTGGGGTTCCCTATGCGCGTTAAGTTTATTGTTCGCGTACTTTTTCGTCTCGGAGACAAAAGGCTTGAGTTTGGAACAGGTAGACAGAATGTTGGAAGAGACGACGCCGAGAACGAGCGCAAAATGGGTGCCGCATAGTACCTTCGCTGGGGAAATGGGTTTGGCGGGAGATAAGGTGGTGGAACATGTGCCGCATGTGGAGAAGGGAAATGCGTCTGATGAGGCCGCGACGGAGGTTAATAAGGATGTTGTTTAAATTTTCTTTTCCAAATCTGGCTTGAGCTTCCATTTATGGCGCCAGGATAGCTTTTGTGCGAGGGGGGTTTAATCCTCTTGGTGAATGAAGTGGAAAGAGTGGGTAGATGCAGAATGAGTTTTTGAGTTTGATATATACAGTACAGTACTACTTTGTCGAGTAGATATCTGACAGTGTTTCACATGTAGAGTTGAAGTTACTATACCCAATAATTATTCTGCTTCTTACATTGTATTTCTGTTGATGTTGAATTAGTTTCATGCTTGGTTAGTGCTATGCCAAATAATGCGTCTTTCTTCATATCGATATACAAAATCTCCAATGTGAGGTATGTATGTTTGTGGTATCGTAAGTTCCCATATTTCTAACTTGTTTTCTTGAGGTTTGTGTACATTCCTTCAATATCAACTTCAGCATTGTGAATCCTCGTTGTAAATCTCCCTCTGCTCCGCTCTTCGGAGCTTATACTTCACCCTTATTTATAAAAGTCAATGTATACCTAGGTAGTCTAAAAAATAACACATTGCATGAAATATGTTTATTGAATATCCCACAAGGAAGTAGACCAGAGTCTCAGAGGAACCGTATGGGATGAGGACCGATGTTCTGTTAAGGAATCCATGAGTTTGAGGTACCAGTGATACGATACTT